GCGCAGCTGAAAGAGGACTTTTAGGTCTGGATTGGAATCCAGTTTGCTTTTCGATGGGGTGTATTTGTCTGGGTCAGTCAGATACAGTATCATCGATTTAATTGCAGGATCATCCAACTTTTGAAGTTGGATGATGTCTGCGTCAGTTGAAAATGACTTTTCATATTTTAAAAGAACTTGGCGAAGTTTGTCTCTTTCTTCATCAGATGTCAGAGTGTCGGCTTGGGCGACCACCTGTTCAATCTGTGATGAGACTGATGAGGGTTCTTGCTCCTTGGGGAGCTCCAACGAATCCTTTTCTGAGTCGTCGGACCTGTCTATGGGTAAGACACCATAGGTTTGAGGCCCTTGGTCGACGTCATTGTTTGAGGAAAGAGCTATGGCCTGTGATGGTTTCGTGAAACATACTGGCCCAGCTTCTTGACTCGGTACCAGGTTATCTGGGAGTCCTCCCAGAACTGGAATGCCTAGTTCAAAATCATGAAAATCAGGTTCTGAGTTTTCAGTTTGCGATGACTCATCATCGTTTGTGTGTGAGTTTACCCCCCCTACGTCCGATGAGGGGTTGTTGGAGGCAGCAACAGCAATGTCTTGGTGTGTTTCACCGACATCTGTAATGTTGTCATTTGCGCCTTCAGATTTAGTAGCGATAACATCACTACATCGTGCTCCTGGTTGGATTCCCATTTCAGCGTTTTTCAAAGTTTCTACAAACCTTTGTAGTTTCTCTGTCTCCTCCGAGCTCAGAGGTGTAGGGCCTTGTTCCTGGGACCTTTGTGATTTTATCGCCTCGGTTCGTTTCGTCCGAGGTGGGGGAGGGTTAGGTACGTCTTTTGGGGGTTCCTCTTCGGATTTCCCCTGATAATATGGGTCCTCTTGGATCCCATATCTTTGCATCCTACGCATGTCCCATATACGATAACCACGTCCATCCTCTGAAAGAGGAGCCTTTTTGTCCCAGCGTGCACCTTCATTACGTGGTTTGTTAGTTTGAAAATACTGCCTTTTCTCGCCTGCTTTAGGAGGAGGTGGCGACGCACGCCTTCCTTCCATTTCTAGGGAGTGGGGTTTAACCTTTACACCAGGAAACACCTCTATGG